TTAAGCTGTGCCACGGCATTCTGGAATAATTTGATACACTGTGAGAGTCGCCAAGATGTGACGGCGAGCCCTCAGGTGAGCTCATTCTGCTGGAAAAATGGCACCAGCAGACGTGCTCACCACAGGACTGCCACAAACCTTCAGTTTGTGAAAAATGCAGTAACACACAGGGTAGAAAAATGAGGTATATTCTTATTGATGGTAATATTAATTACACCCTGAACAGTTACACTCGCTAGACACGGCGTTTCTATGTGTCACTGCTAAGCCTCACGTCACCTCTACCAACAAGATGTTGCTCCCACGTCACAAACCACAGAGCTGGCACGTGCATGACTCTAAAGGCTGAAGTTCAAAACCAAGGCTCTTGTGCTTGAGTCATTGAAAAAGCCTGGAACCAGCCATTCCTGACCCCAAATGGAAATTACATGGTTCCGTGTTTTGCTTCTGAAATGAAACCCAAAATCTGCTCCTGACATCCCAAAGAAAACCCAAAGCAAACCAACAAATCAATTATGACTTATGGAGACCCTACATCGAGCCTCATCTTTCTCCCACAAAGCAGCAGGTGGGTTTGAACTATCAACCTTGTAGCTAGCCATCTGCTGCTTACTTGATAGTGCCACCAGGGCTCCTTGACATCACAAAGATTCCTTCTTAACTGGAAACATGTAGATTAGAAAACTGTAGCAAAGGGAAAGGGGTTGGTAATATCTATTATTTTTGCACCAATCACTATGATTATTAGTACTAAGTAAAGGCATGATATGAAACTACACTATAAACAGCAAAACATGTCAAAACCTCTTCTACATACACAAATCCTGATCCATCCTACCTGATCATATCTCTATGTAAGGATGCTCACCTGACTTCCAAAGCATTGAAATAATTTCTAATTGAGGATAAGTCAAAAAATAGTGCTATAAGAAACTATTAAACAAAAGTATCAAAAAGTGAAATGATTGTTTCTCAACCTCTCTTCCAAGTCTACACACAGATGAAGGAAGTGCTTCTAGGGGTCTAACCCTTTGCCAAATCTGCATTTCCTATTGACACCACTTCAGAATGGTAGTTTTGGTAACCTGAAGGGACCCAAATCATCTCTTTCAAACATTCTTTGCCTTTTGGAACAAAAAGAAGACGGAGGGAGCAAGATCAGGGTTGTAGGGTAAATGGGATAAGGTTTTCCATGGATATTCTTGTAGGACAGCATTTGTTACCTCCAAAGAATGAGCAGGTACATTGTGATGGAAAAACAATTCCCCAGTGCAAACTCCCTGGACTTTTTCTTGCCAATACAATGTTCAGTTTTCTTAAAGCATCTCCTTAATAAGTCCCCATGATTGCCTTCTGTCCTTCAAAAAAAATACTGAGATCACCCCTTTGGAATCCAAAACCACAATCACTATAACCCT